CTCGCCGTCTGACGGGGCCGGTCGGGTGGGACCCTTCCCGCCAGGTGAGGCTGAAGAACCTCAGAGAGCGGTTAGGGGGTCAGTTAAGACCGGGCCTTTTTATCTTGGCTGAGGAATTGCACGAGCTGGCACTTACACAGTACTGGGATAATGCATAAAGCCCGTCAGATGCCAGCGTTCACCAGAGAGCACAGAACCTATCTCTGGATTACAAAAGTGTCTTGATAACTTATCTTCAAGAACCATCCTAATAATAGGTTGTTATTTCCACTAATAGGGCTAGGCAGGAGCACAAGGCACGCGGATCGTGAACGAGCTGGGTCTGGCTCTGAGTGACTGCTCGTCATCAGGACATGACTCACATTTAAAGGGACCTGCTCTGCTTTCAGTGTTTTTCCCTGTGTATCTCGGGGCAGCAGCGCAGCGACGAGGAGTTAAGGAGCTTGGCTGTATCCTGGGATGAGCTTGCAGATGGCTTCTCATCCCGCTCTCTTGTGGTGGGGCTGAGGACACTCAGAGCTGCTTGCTGTCAGCTCCAGGGCTGCATGCGACCGATGGGTGGCAAATGCCACGTGCTAGTTCTGAGCTGTCTGCCTACGATCTGTGAGCTTGCCGAGCTGTGACGCAGCCTGCTCTCGGAGGGAAAGGCAATCTAACTGGGTCCAAAGTATCCGCCTTGAGCCACACCTGAGATTTTTCCCAGCAATCGCAATACTCAGCTATTTTCTCTTTTTTCTCTTTTCAGCAAAGAATTGAAATCCATAAGCTTCGTCAAGGTGACAATTTGATTCTGGGATTCAGCATTGGAGGTGGCATTGATCAGGACCCCACTCAGAATCCTTTTTCTGAAGACAAGACTGACAAGGTCAGACACTCTGTTTTCTGTAGCAACTCTCTCTGCCAAAGGCCGAACGTATCTGCCTTGCCCAGCGAGCTCCACTCACTGCCACCTGTATTCTGTCCTCTCACACAGCTGACTGCTAAGGTTACTCTGCTGCCACATTATCACTTGTGGACTAAGCTTGTTTTCAGTTAGCTCTCCCCCTTTTCTATTTTCCAACATTGCACAAACCTGCTTTTAACTAGAATCCTGTAATACACTACAAAGTATTTTTGCACTGTCAGCAGAATGGCCCTTGAGTATATAGTGTTTCCATATTTAGTAAATGAACACTTAAACTTTTTCCCCAGGGTATCTATGTAACAAGGGTGACAGAAGGAGGCCCAGCAGAAGTTGCAGGACTTCAGATTGGAGACAAGATCATGCAGGTAAACACCCAGATAAGAAAAGTACTAAGTGCACGCTACAGAGAAGTTTCTGCTGGGGGAAATACTGTCTTCTGGGTACTTTCCAGGACTGTTTGTGGGGCATATAAATAAACTGAGCTGCGGCATAAGCATATGTACTACGTAGTTCTGATAGAACAGTTATAGGACACCGGTGAGTCCATGCTCCTGCCTCATTTCATGACTTTTCCCCTAGGTGAATGGCTGGGACATGACAATGGTGACCCATGACCAAGCCAGGAAGAGGCTGACAAAAAGGAACGAAGAAGTGGTACGGCTCCTGGTGACCAGGCAATCTCTGCAGAAGGCTGTGCAACAATCCATGATGTCCTAATCAATCATCAAGTTGGGGAAGGGTTGGGGAGGGAGATACATAGACTGGTATCAAGCAAGGAAGCAGATACTAGACCTGAACAGGTTGTCTGGAAGGAGTGCATGTTCCTAGCTGTGGTAAACACTTTTTTTTTTCCTTTCTCTGGTGTAACTGGCAGTAGTAAAACTCTAGTGCCCCCAGCAAGAGTGCTTCTCTAAAGTCTTCCCTGCAGGTACATGGTAAGACTTTGTTGTAGTTGTGGCTTTCAGGAGGACAGGACAAATCCTGGTTATCTAAGGAAGCAACTGGAGCAGCCTTAACTTTGATAGGATTCTTTTGTAGCACAAAAGCTTCCTATTTCAAGAATAAATGTGGTTTCTGCTGTGGAAGATAAGAGGGTTTGCAGTGCTTCAGCTTTTAGAAGCAAGCTGTCCTGTCCTCCCATGATACCAAATTAAAGGGCCAGAACTGAGTTGCACACCGCTGTGGGGAGGAGCACTACTAATCTCACACTGTGTGCTAGCTAGATGGAGTATGCTGAAGGGTCTGGGGCATTACAGTTTACTGCAAAGATTCCCTGTCCAGAACAGCCTCTTCAGACAAGAAACAACTAATGAACACAGAAGTATTAGATTAATACCTGTGAAGTACACTAAAAAAAAAATGTTTGTAGACACTACAGTTCAATTTCACTGTCAAGGGTAAAACCTTAATTCTCCTTGTTCCCAAGTAATTTGTAACATCAAATGAATCAAGTTTAAATGAAAGGAATATGGAGCAGGAAAGAAAACACTGTTGCTGAACTTACCAAAAGAGCTGCTTGTGGCTATAGTGTCTTCAGTTCTTCATTCCACTTCTATCAGACTTGAAATGGGAGGGGTGGATTTTCATCTGTCTTTGCTGATTCATTGGATGGAAGAGATGAATATGCCAATAATGTCCAAAAGTGCCTCTTGACCAAATTTAAACTTCTGGTGAGATACTGAGTTGTTAAGTGAACATGCCACAGGATTTAAGATTCTTGCTGCAAAACAGTTAATTATCTAGTGTCCTAGTGGTTTGTTAACCACCTAGCTTTACAATTATCCAAAAACTGGAGTGCTTAATCCCCTTCAGTTGATTTATACACATCTATACTTCCCTTAAGCAGTCTTCAGGTAAGCTGTTGTAAATAGAACATGAGGAGGTGGCAGACTAACTTATTCAGTACATTACTGCTGTGCCATGTATGTATGTGGTGATTAATGCATCTCAGACTGTTCTGTATGCACCAGCAGATGCCTATTTACTGTTTTTATATCTATGGAATTACTACAATACTGCTTTTGAATTTTGTAACTTAATATTTCAGTGGTAAATTTTAAGGCTTTCAAGTTGAAGTTATTTTTGTTACTATAAAGATACACTGCTATTTGTACTGCTATTCCACTTGATTTTACACACAATAAAACAAAGCTGGCTTTCCTGAGCTGTTTTCTCCTCATGTTTAAGAAGGCCATGTCACTTGAATGCCTCCAGCTGACATCTCTTTTCTGGCTCAGCGGATTGCAGACTGCATCAACACAATGCAGCCTGAGGTTAGTAAGGTCTGATTTCACTGGGGTGTATCTGCAGTGTTAGTGGGCTGTCAGACCTCACCTGGTCTCTAGCAGGGGAGAGAAGGGGTTCTAGTTTTCCTTAGATTGACACTTCCTAAGACATACTAGATTTTTGAGCACTCAAGTATTGTTCAAATACAAATGCATGGATTCCCTTCCAGTTCTTCTAAAAGGCATAATGCTTACCTTCAAGTAACTCAAGACCTTGATCTCTACCTAGAACATACCATGTCTAGTTCAAATAGTTGCCTAGGAACAAAACCATACATTTAAACTTTAATCATGGGGCTGTTAATTAACATGATCCACTTAAAGATTTGTTAAAGAGATTATTTTTAATCTTTACCATCCCCTGTTTAGGATTCAAGGCATGTCAGTAGAACTGAGCAGAATGAAGTTAGTGCACTGGAAGTATTCAGATAAACCTGAGCACTTCGCACCTTTGAAAGAGCTTCCAGTAAAACAAGGATACAGCTTCTGCTTCTCAGTATTTTTTTTAATAAGAGCTCAGGTTTTAACATTTGTGTATTTGCTACAAGCTCATTCTTTTATGTACCACTACAGCTGTTAACAGCCAACCTGAGTGGTGTTCTACTGTCATCTGTGAGGAGTCAGCAGCAGCACTTCGATCCACAGTCTTCAGTCATTACATGAAGATAGTAAGTGGTTGCTTAAACATGATGTCAGGTTTTTGGAAGCCAGAACTCTGCTCCTTGTGCTTCACTTCCACTCAGAAATGCATCACTCTGGTCTTTCTCTTTCCCGTTAATGGAAATGGAGTCACATATCGCTTGGACAGCTCACACTTAAGCTGTCTCTGCAGCTTCAACAAGCGTGAGTCTTCCATTTGCAAGTGGTGGCTCGATAGCTTGCTGTCCTTTAAGGCATCTGGCAGTGAGTATTTGGCAAGGCAACAGCTTGTATTCCAAACCAGAGAGGATCAAAGTCTGAACACTGCTCAGAATCAGTATTTCTGGTACCTGGCAGTATGCATCTTGAAAGCCTTTGGCCAGGGAAGGGGCAAGTTCAATTTAAAGTTTTTGTCTTTGCAAGTGATGTTATTCACAAGGTTCATACCCTCGTCTCCTATAAAGGCAGTAGTGCTGGACCATAAAAACAATATCAAAGATGACAGAGAAGACACCTAGGCCAAACTTGGTTGGATCTCCAAAGATTAACTTCCACTGATCTGTCAAACACAAAATTAGAGAGTTAAGACTAATTCCTCAAGTGTAGTCTTGTCTCAGGACTACAAGGTCATGCCATACATATTAGATAAGTTCAATTTTATTACCTGGACTGCTTAGGCACACCTTAAGACTGACTGTTGTGTACATCTTATGCAAAGCTAATTAATAACTGTTCCTGTTGTTTCTTCAGAATACCTATTTCATTTTCTGTCTTGAAGGAATATGAACAGACTCTTTATTTTTAGTATAAGAACAGCTACCCGTACCATATCACAAACACCATTCTCCCAAGATAACCTACTGGTTTGTATCTGCTTTGTAGCAGGATTCTTCCACCCCATTAAGAAAGGCCCCACCACCTCAGTTCCAGCCTTACCATTGTTGTATGACTGCAAAAACATCTGGAGAAGGCTGAAGCTTCCACCAGTGAAGTCTAAAAATACATTTTAAATTCATGTATGCCTGAGTGTAACAAGTCAGTCAGCATGTCATGTACAAGCATTTCTGAAATTCACATTTAAGAAGCATTCTATATAGGTATACTGGTTTTGTTACTAAAAGACTTAAATAATTGTTGCTGGTTTAATCTAGTCATAATTTCAGGAGGACATGCTGAAGGCTTATGACAGGAATATAGTATAAAAGCAGAGAAATTCAGATTTACCTGTGGAAAATATTTTATCAGTGTGACTGCTAACTTAATGTACGAGAAGCAGAATAAGAACTGTAGCCATGTCATTTGCTCAGCTGCAGCCAGAAAAAGTGTTGTAAATGTGAAGATCCATGCAAGTGCCAGTAGTCCAACAACAACTCTGGATACTTTCTGACCTGCTCTCTGAAACAGAAATGCAGACACACTTAGACTGACCCCAGCCATACATCCCCTGACACACCATAAGATACAGAATATGCTCAGGACTACGCAAGGTTACAGTCCAAACCTGTTGGTGTACCAGTTACGCTCATACCACGCAGGAATTTTAACATTAACTGAGTGCTACAGCAACCAGCTGTACATTTGCAAAAGCTGATGAGTAATATTCGGCATCAATCGTTTGGAACACTATTGTCCATAAGCAAGTGGGAGACAATATTGTGGCAGTATTCTTGAGTATTCATGATGCCTGTTATCAGTGCCACATATGTAACAGCCTCCTGAGTTTAGTGCTATGACATCAAGAGTTCCTGTAAATGCAAACGGCTGCTACAGCCTTTATGGTAAAAGATTCATGGTTGCCTTCTAACTCTTCACTAGAAAAGACTACTGCACCTAGCAGTGATGACAAATGGGCTGTTATAGTTTTAGGTTTAACATCACCAAAGGAAACACCCCAAGACATAAATGGTTACCATCTAGAGAAAATTTGCTATTCAGAGCAGAGGCTTTTACAACACGAATTAAAGAGCCATCTGACTACAACAATCAGTCTCACCTGAAAAGGATGGGAATTATAAAAGGGCCTTTGCAGCTGTTTTAGAAAAGGTTGAAAAAAGCTGAAAGTTTGAATTGCAGGGAATCCTCGAGGACTTGTCCTAGCCTGAGGAATGCTCCTAGTAGTGAGGAAACAGCAAAGCACATACCAGCATTTGTACCGTGCAGAGCTGTATCTATGGGCTGGCTAGAGATCTGTTTGGGAACTTTATGAACTTAGCTGTTTGCCTTCATTATTTTGAGTCCCTAAGGAGTTTACTTATAAGCTCAGAATATCTATGAGGCTGAAGTAGCTAAGCCTACTGGAGCTGATACTAGCTCAGGAAAAATAAGGCAGCTGGATTGTGAAGGCTGACTTCCAGAAAGGCCAACGAAAGCGAAACGCAGAGGACTCCGGAGCCCAGAAGCGACCCGCGCGGTGCCCGGCAGAGGGAGCTCGGCCAGAGCTGAGGGCTCAGCTCGGCGCTGGGACTCACCTCGTAGATGCAGCACTGAATTATGGTGAGGAGAGTGAGAGCTACTGCGTGGAGGCTGAAGAAAACATCATTGACAGCCACAGGGTTCACCCCGCTGGGATAACTGACTAAGAATTCCTCCTAAAGGTAAGAGAAACCAAAACCAGCTAAAAACTCCCTTCTGTAGGTACCCACCCCCAGGCAAGTATTGAGAGATAATCATGCTTACCTTAATCAAGGGGATCCAGAAAAGTCCAATATTAAACACACTGTATGCTATAAAGCCAGTAAGGTTTAATGCTATAAAGTCAAAGCTTAGTCCAACAACACTAGAGAAGGGGGGGGGGGGAAAGTATGAGAAATAGGCATCAGAACATTACAGGCAGTTCCAGGGACAACTTTACCCTAGAATGTACTTATTTATAGGCAATTTTTGATGTAAGCCAAAGCTGCAGGCATTGTGACCAGACAATGCTGTGAGTTCATCAGGAAGCAAGGTGAAATATCTCCAACAGCTCTCACTGACAAGGTTGCGTCTCTGCTGTTTATCTTCACCCCTCTGTGAGCTCAGCTAGTCTGATAAAACCATTCCAGCCCGAGTCTATAGAAGCAGAAGGGCATCTTTGCCAAAACAAATCCTTTTGTTTTCATATATAATGTTTCTACTTGCAGTCACTTAATTTAAGGGGAGCTGGCCTAATGATTACACTACAAGGAGCTGTTTGATAAACAACTCACAAGGTAAGTAAATTCTGAGGGTAGTCATCACAATTGGCTTGGCTGGATGATTTACAACATGACACCAAATGAAAGGGGGAAGTCCCCTCTATGACAAATTACTATTGGATGCCAAGCCTTAGGATTAGGTGTCTGTAAGATGCACTTAGTTTCCTCTGATCTACATGCATAAAAGCTCACTGGGGCTGCATTTATTCAGGCCCTATCTTTGCCTTGCTTTTTTCCTCCCCCGGTCTTTCCATGCGTAATCCACGATAACCAAGATGGATGTAACTGAAGCTAGGAACATGATTTGCAGAAGTGCTTAAGTGACTTGCAAACACATCTTAAGTCTCTTTACCTTTTTCGTCGCCAGTTCTCAAAGAGTTGAGGATAAAAGGAGATAGACCAGGCAAGGAAGTAGATCCAGCCAATCACCTCATCAGCGTATCTCACTATGATGCTATGAATCACTTGAAATTGAATCCTAGGTCTGATGGTTAATGCAAACAGAATTAGTTAATTTATCTGTTCACACTTTTTTCAGGAGATTTTGCCTTGTTCTGCTTTGAGAGAGAAAACAGAGTTCAGGTGTTGAGACAAGGCAATAAAGATTAAGCGTTGCTTTCAGCTGAGTTGCTCCCTTTTTCTTTAGTGTCCTAAACATAAGTTAGGACATCTCTCACTTCTACCCTCAGCCTACCCTTTCCTTCTTGCCTCACTCTTTCCTTTCCATTCTTTTACCATAGAAATCTTCAAAAAGGTCATATTGTGCCTACGGCTTGTACTCTCTTAGCGCGAGGTCTGTTACGCAAGAGCAGAGTTTCACTTTTCACACTTTGCCAGCAAAGCCTTATGATCACGGCTGTCCTGTTGAGCATTTCACATGCTTACCTCTGCATTTGCTTTGAGTCTTAAAAGCAGAAGTGAAACGAGGAAGTAAAACAGGAGTATCCTGTTGCTCAGTAGCATCTGGGCAACAAGCAAATACAATCCAGCTTTCTCCATCTTGCTAGACTGTTTTCCTATTAGGGAGGACTGGCATCTGTGAAAAGAGGGCTCCCCTAACTAGAGCACAAAACATCTATATCTCATGGTAGTGATCTGCGTGCACAGCTGCATCAGGCTATTAGCACTCCAGAACAAGTTCTGCACAGTAACAACATCACAGAATCACAGAATGGTAGGGGTTGGAAGGGGCCTCTGTGGGTCATCTAGTCCAACCCTCCTGCCGAGGCAGGGTCACCTACAGCAGGCTGCACAGGACCTTGTCCAGGTGGGTCTGGAATATCTCCAGAGAAGGAGACTCCACAGCCTCCCTGGGCAGCCTGTTCCAGTGCTCTGTCACCCTCAGAGGGAAGAAGTTCTTCATGTTCAGATGGAACTTCCTCTGCTTCATTTTGTGCATGTTGCCCCTTGTCCTGTCACTGGGCACCACTGAAAAGAGTTTGGCCCCATCCTCCTGACACCCACCCTGCAGATATTTATAAGCATATATTAGGTCCCCTCGCAGCCTTCTCTTCTTCAGGCTAAACAAGCCCAGCTCCCTCAGCCTTTCCTCATAGGAGAGATGTTCCAGTCCCCTCACCATCCTTGTAGCCCTCCACTGGACTCCAGTAGTAGTATCCCACTGGACACTTACAACCAAATGCTTCCTGAATCAGAAAATCTGACATGTAGTTCTGATACTTCTGGGAGGGGTTATTAAAACCACACTAAGGAGCCATGAGAACTCAGTCATCTAGTAATGGAATCTAAGATAGCAATGCTATCGCTCTGCTTTCATACCCTGTATTTATCTGAATACCTTGGGGATTGCTGGAGGGTCACCACATCTTCTCAACTACACACCACCCATGTCCCATTAACTATTTAATTCTAAGGAGGGAATAGTTACCCCAAAGTTCAGGCAGCTGTAGGATAGTAAGTAGAACTAAAAACCAGTTTCTCACCCAGTTAAGTTGGAATTAATGGTATAAAGATAAACTGTTACTTGTCCAACATCATCTGCTTTCACTTGGAAGTCTGCTTTAGTGTGACCTGCAGGCAATTGTACCTGCAAAGCAAAGTGGAGGGAAGAAAGGGGAGAGTTGCACCATATGAGCGGTAGGCTTTTGCATAAAGGTCAGAAGTCTGTTCTGTCACTTACTTCATCAGGCAGTTCAACAATAGTGCTGTGTTTTGATGAGTGTGTAATACTAAGAGCTATCACCAGTGTCTCATTTAATGGAGCCCTGTGAAGGCAGAAACAAGTTAGACTGGTACCGGAGTTCACAAAGATTGCTTCTGGGCTGTGGGAGAGCATCTGCTAAATCCTCACAGCTGTGGCAAACATCATGAACAGTCAATACACAACAGTACCTACCTGCCTACTACTCAGAGGAACACCAGCACCAAGGTATGTTAGCATTGTACTATTTCTTTTATCTGAACTGGTGACGGGCAGTTATATGGCCTCTTTTTACTTCCTTCTTCTCCACACAAGTGGCAGAGTAAAGTCATTGGCACCAGAATCCTATCATTGTGCTAACATTGTTAACTCTTTGCTGGTAAAGAGGGGCACAAATGATGGCCATCTACTTGGGTGATAAAGGACAGAAATTCTAGCATCGCAGTAAGACAAAACAAACCCACCCACCCCACCCCCGCAAATAACAAAAACCCTCCAAGTGACGTAGTCCTGCACATACTTCCCAGAGAATCCCACTGAGCATTTGTCCAGGAGGTTTAATTGCACAGCACTACTTAAAATATAATGTTCAAACGCCTGTACTTCTCCAGGAATAAGATTACAGTACCACACCTTTATTTGCAAAAATAGGTCTAGACTGTTGCAGCTATGTCCTGCTATTTTCCTCTTTACCGCAACTCTCACATTTTCATTTGACTGTTTCCTTTACTAACACTTTGCAGTCTCAAAGGGGAGGGGTGCATGTGTTTAACAATCCTTTCCTGGGAAGAGGCTGACATAGAAAAACCATGGGTAAACAATGCACTGTATTAAACAACAAGACTAAGGTGCATCAAACCCCATTCTAGAGTTGCCGCATTTCTTTGCTAGAATTGGCGAGTTCTGTTTGCTTGGTGAAGTGGTGGTTTTTTGTGATCCTTTTAGGAAATACAAGTTTCTCTAAAGCATCAATTTTTAGAAGTCGGAGGAACTGTAAGTTCGCTTACGGAAGACAGTTAAGTAAGCTAATATAGGGCAGACAGTATAAAATACCTTTTCCAGCTCAACTTCCCATACAAATGGCAAGGGATATTGTCAGAGGCCAACTATACAAGGCTGTTGTGAGAATGCTGCGCTATTCTCAGTCCATACTGGTACTAAGAGATACCACAGTCTAGAAGTGGCCAGTCACACCAAAGAGATTCACTCTGCATGAACAATTAACTTGTCTGAAGTATATAGCCAAGTCCTACCCGCTTGCGTGTCCCCCATTCCAAAGAGAAAGCAAAGATGCAATCATGATCTTACCTCAGAGAGATAGTGACGTTTGTTGAACTTCCACTTTCTAATGAAACCACATCAGGGACAGACAATACAATGACTCCATCTGGGGGGGGAAAAAAACCCCACACATCTCATTTACTATGAATGACAAATAGCTCCTTCAGAAGAACTATCTGCTTTCTTTTGTGATATAGACAAAATTGTCTATATGACTATTGGTACCTGCAGTGTCAGATTAATAAAATTAGCACACAAGCTAATAAATTACCTTATTTCAAGGTGACTAAACAACTTAAAAGGAGAAGTAAATAACTGTCACTTAAACATGTTACAAGGGAGCAATTTAAATATTTGAAATGCAACAAAAATTCATGCAAGAAAAGGCCATAGTATACTTTAAACCCACAGCAGTTGTTTCTTGATGTGATCCTAGTCATAAATGCCCAAAATTTAGTTTAAAATTGCTTCTTACTATAGTAGCCTCAAATATTGCAATTAAGGGGTACACCTTAATTGCACCCAGCTACATTGCACCACGTTATGCTTTAAGAGAGGCTGAGATTCCAAATGCCAATACGACTGGGTCAAAACCATAAGCTGGTCATGTGTCAACAATTTTGACATTTGGAATCCAAGTCTGTTTTATTCCCTGTATGTTTGAAGGACACAAGAGACAAGAGCAAAGAGCTATATAAAAATAAAACCAGAAATGGAGAGACAAACAGGTTGCCCTGGACACCTTTTTTCTTGTTGCCATATATTACAGAGTGTTCTTAAGCAGGTATTTAAGTGCAGAACTCCCTAGTTCATCACTGACCGCACCACAGACAGTATTTAATCGGCAGAGGCTGAGCTGGGAGCACAAGCCGAGGGCTCCATCGCATCAGCCCCTCGGCGTAGCACTGTCCCAGTACGAGCACGCCACGCCAAAGGTAATGGGTGAAAGAAGAGCTGGCGGGAAGCACGGCACTGGTCTCCCCAGAGAGGTGACAGTGATACTGCACAGCAGCCCTCTTCCACCTCTCACCAGGTCAGACCTGGCCCCTGCCCAGGGGCTCCTCTGGGCCCAAGCCGGGACGGCCGAACACTCACCGCCAGGCCCCAGCAGCACAGGCGAGAGGCACAACAGAGCGGGGAGCAGGTATCGCATCCTCACGGTGGAAGAGCTGCAGTAAAAGCGAAGAGAAGGCTCTGCTCAGGACAAGCACGCTTTGAGGAGGCACCAGCCTGTCTCCTC